TACTCATGCAAAAAAAAAAAAAAATAACCAAAAAAACATTCAAGCTTAGGAAAGGGAAGGTTTATTTAGTTCCTAATTACCGGAGGTTTCATAGTTTAAAGCTGCCTGAATTAGACTATCAAGACCTTGAGATGCTGCTGTCTTGCGCTACAGAGTCTGGAAGAGAGGCTAGGGCACTGCCGTGTCCCGGGTGATCCGCTCCATACCTGCGAGAGAGGCCACCTGGCCTGAGGGGTGGGGCATAGGGAGGCGCATGCTGTCAATTGAAGGGTTCTTGCCTCTCTGGCCCCGCCCTTTAAGCCCTGCCCCGGTCCTCTGGCCCCGCCCCTCGAGCCACATGCTGCTCCTCAAGCAGTGAGCGCCCCATGATTTACATGAGGCTTTGCGGGGACAGCTAGATACAAACCATAACAGTGCTCAAGAGAACACAGCAAGGGTGAGTGACCAAGTCACCCATTCAGTAAAGGCAAGGGGTGAATTAGAAAATGGGGCTCTGAATGGTGGGGGAGAAAAATGGCTGGATTTGGATAAATCTGTGGTGGTTGGGGAAAGGAGAGCAGGGAAAGAGAGAAATGAAGGGTGACTGTTCTTGGGGTTCATAGAGGCCATTTCTAGAGCTACACTGTGCAGAAGTGTGTGCAGTGAACTTGGTGGGGTGCTGGCAAACTAGGTGTTCTATTTGGGCCAGGCTACCAGCCATCCACATGGAGACCTGAAGCGTGAAGCATGACACAGAACAGTGGCACTCAGGGACTACGTGGTGCTGGGCAATGTGGGCTCCTTGGGTGTGGAACGGGGCTCTGGGGACAGGAGGAGACTCTCAGGGGAGTCTGGAAATAGAGCCGGGAGCCGAGGAGTGTGCCAGGACAGCGTAAGAAATAGGAAAGGAGTATTCTGAACTTTATTCATAGTAAAAGGAACTGGTTGACAGGTGAACTATTGCTTATGATCCACTGCACATGACGGAAGTTTATATGGTTTCACATGAGTTTGTTATTTATTTGAAACCGGTATTTATAGGAAGGGTTAGGGATCATAGTTCAGGTATAAAAAATATTTCACAAAGGTGTATTTCCCTTTACAGAGATTTTTGTATAGCCCAATATACGTTTGATACTTTGAAAAAATGTTTACGTGAAAAGCCAGGGATTATTGGTATCTAAAACAGATTTTAGAGATGAAAAATGCATTATTTCTCAAGAATACTTTGAATGAAGTGTGAAAAGAAAGGACTAAGAAGCAGAAGAGACAAGTGAAAACCACAAATGTAATGAAGATCAAACTTTAGCTTAAATATTAATAATCTCATAAAGTTTACCATCATAGTGAAAATGCTCTTTTATTTGTACTAAAATACCAGTTAAGGGAAAAGTAAAAAATCTCAGAAACAAAAGTAGTACACAGAAATTTTACTATACAGAAATTATTACTGCCCTTAGCAGAGATGAGCTCCCTTTATTCAAAATTCTCTTCCTTGAAAGCAAGAGGGGAGTAGGAAAGGAACTGGACATGACTCATCTAAAGGAAAGGGATGGGCACGGGAACCAACCACATGACGCATTCTTTGAAATACCTTATAGATCTCCTTCTTGCGGTCACCAGTCAGTGAGTGGCCAGTGGGATTGTTGCCGTTGGGGACAGTATAGAGAAATTTGGGTGTGTTTTTGGAAGGGTCCTTGGAATCTTCTGGTTTCCATTTGGAAAGGATTTCTTTGAGGGCATCTGGGATGATCCCAAACTCATCGCTGGGAACATTAATAATGTTGCAGCCCAGAGGGTGCAGCTGAGAATGAAAATAATAATAATAAAAAAAGTTCAAAGTCAAATATGAATACAAAACATAAATATAATTTAAAGAAATACTAATTAGCAATGTTTCTATTTATATCATCAAAAGAATAAATCTGCCTTAGCTCCAAGCTCCCCAGGTTGACATTCTATATTGTTCTTATGTGGTAGATTCTATGGAAAAGACTATATATTGGGTTTTTTTGTTTTTGTTTTTGTTTTTGTACTGGCAGTTGAACTCAAGGTCTTTGTACTGAGTGACATCCCTAACCCCTTTTTCCCTTTATATTTTTTTATTTTTGCACAGGGTATCATTAAGGTGCCCATATAGGATTTGAATTTGGAATCCTTCTGAGTCAGCCTCCCAGAGTGCTGAGCTTACCAATATGTACTATCACCCTGGCTATGGATCATGTTCTCTTGCACCATTTATGTCTGATTTGACTGTATTCTTCCTTTGCCAAATAAATTGTGAGCAAAAGGGACATTTGTTCCTTCAAGAAGTTTTAAATATCCAACAAGTGGTTTCTATGTCTTTGTCCTTTGCTCTAAGCTTGGCTGTGTTCCATGTAGGGGCTGCTCCTGTCAGCTTGGGGCTGGGAATGAAGAGGCCACAGATGTGAGCAGCAGAGGGCTTGTGGCACACAGTGTCCTGGTGTAAGCCACTGAGCTATGATAGTCATGCGTCACACAGAGTTGTTATTTTGAGTTGTTATATAAGAGTTGTTATTTTGCAAAAACGTGTACTTACAGCTTGAAGTGTTCCCGAATAAACTGGTTCATTTAGGAGGATGTTATCTCCAGGATTAATTATCATTTCAAATGCCTAAAAGAAGAAACACATATTAACTTGCAGAGTGTTTTATTCTCAGAATCGTATTATTTCATTTGAGCTCACATGACCCTAGAGTATGGGTTGGCATTTTTTTTTTTTTTTTGTAAAGGGCCCAGCAGTAACCATCTTGTGGGTTATTCTGCCTGTTTGCTACCACTCTCCTCTGCTTCTAGAGTGAGAAAGTACCCACAGCCAATATCAAAGTGAATGGAGTGACTGAGTTTCAATAAAACTTTATGTACAAATCTAGATGGGAATTTGAATGACACTCTTTAAGTACCAACTTTTGTTCTAAGGAAAAGTATAAAGGCTCATAACTGGCTTGATTCCTAAAATTCATCTTCTTGCTTCTTTGAGAGTGTGTTAATTGCCCTCTACGAGTCACATCACTATGAGGCTCTGGAGCTCAAAGACCAAGAGAGTCACACATTTCTCCTTCGCTTAGAGTTACATGTCTTCTGGAAAAGCTAAGCTAGACGTCAACAATTAATGAAATACATATATATGTAA